ATGTGTATATGAATTTCTTATTCCGTTTACTCGTTTGTTTTGTATTTTGGCGAGAAATAATGGTTAGTGAGTTTTTTGCTAGTCACGTGTAGTAACTTTGAAATTAAGTTCTGGCTTCACATTCATGCGTAAGTCTGCTTTAGTGCCTTCATTTGTTGTCATATCCTGTTGTTTTGGAAGTGAAAATTTTTAGTTTAAATTTTTGGCGTTAAGGTAAGCTGTATTTTATTCTTCACTTGAACTTTATTGATTGTTAATTCACTTTTTACATAGAGCTTCGCTTTTTTTCGTTTGGTTGTTTTTTCTTTGATCTTGATTCAAAGTTAGTAAAGAGGAGATTTTTTATTCTGTTGTTTGAGGTTAAGTTTTTTTCTTGAAGTCTCTGGTATTGGATATTTTTGTGATGCTTTTCAAATAGTGTCAAAAATTCTTGTCTTTTGAATTTTGTCATTTGTCTTTCAAAAACTGATGGCGTTGTTGTTTGCACTTCGACTGTATATATGGTGCAGTTCACATATGTTTGAAATAGAGGTCAACTTTACATTTACAGCTAATTACTAAGTTTCAAGTTGAACAAATATGAATTAAAGTTCTGATATCCTGGAGTCACTTCACACAACAATCAAAGGTATTCGTTTATAAAATTAAAAACAATGAGTTCTGGTACTCGTACTGTTTAGACACTTATTTGGGTTTTTTTTCGATTTTGGTTTTTTGAATTGCGAAGAAGATGCATGCATTTTATTAAGCGTCGTCAATGGCAGATCGAAACCAGTAACACATTAGGATTCGTTTGGGAAGTATGAATTTGTTAGATATAATTTTAAGTTTTAATATGCTTTAAGAAAGAAAGAAAAGAGACTTGGAGCGTATTGAATTAAATTTTGAGTCATTCATTGTAGCGCATTCAGTTTTGCTGATTTCGGGAATGAGCATTGTAGTAAAATTTACGTAAATTGTACTAATTAACTTTTTTGGTTTTAATTTTTTTTTGACAACGCCTAATATAAGCACCTTGAATGTTTCAACTACAAAAATTTCATTATAACATAACAGGAAGGGAAAAAGTGTTTAGACAAGGACTGGAGGACAGTGAATTAAAGAGAATAAATAAGATGGTTAAAGTAATAAAACTGAAACCCAGAAAGGAATATACATTTGTTTTTTAATTTTTCATCGAAAATTTATTTTTTTGTGTAATCGATATAGTTTTTATGAGGGGAACCAATGGAATGGAGAAGAAACAGTTGAAGTGATGAGAATTGATCTGCTTGAATTACCCGGTCTGTAGGGTGTTATACACTTTTAAGAATAAAAAGAGATTTTAGTAGTTTAGAGACGAAGAGAAAAAGTTGTAGAAGAAGGTCGGTTAGGGACTACTCAACGTTGCATAATCTTTATTAGTTTCTGGCCTTAGGACGCTAAGTTCTGTCGCCGGTGAACACGGTCCCAGAAAACCATTGACCACTGTTGCACCAGTATTTGCTTCCTTCGGCTTTATTGCTAGTGTATCACAGCTTGCGTTGAAGCTCGTGTCCGATGGCAGGACTATGCGTTCCGGTGGTATGTTTACAACACAGTTCAAGAAATCCATTTCTGGTGACAGTTTTCCTATAGAAATTCTTTCAATAGGTCATTGTTCGTAAAGGGAGAAACTAAGGATTTAACCTATATAACGCCTTTGACTACAGTTATTTAACTAACGACAAACAATTATTAAGTGGAAAATTTAGCCTATGATGTAAGAAGAAATTTTAAGATAAGGATATCAGTTTTCAGACTTGACACCTAAAGTCAGAAGGAATTGGTATTTTTACATCTTCTTTTTTTTTTTTTTTTTTTTTTTTT